GTGAAACAGTGCGTCCCTCCGATGCATAAACCCTTTTTTAGATGAGGGTAATATTGTCTATTTCTAAATCTCTCTCTTTTATATGGCAATTCAGTCATTCCACTTGGCCCTTGACCGTCAAGTAATGGTAGGAAATTGCTAGACACAAATTGAAAGTTGCGCGTACTACTCAGAAATTTTTCCAAACATCTACAAGTATTCCATAGTTACAAAACATTTAAGGAGAAGTACGGATGTAGATTTTTTCATTTCGTCAAACCGAAACCGAATCGGTACCACCGATTAATCAGTTCGCCGGTTTCAGTTTTTGATCGGTTTGGTTTTTCGATTTTTTAGTTTTTTATATTTATAATATATATTATATAAATATATATAATATTATATTATAAATAATAAATGATATATAATATATTTATAAATAGATCATTATAAATATATATTTATATATAATGAATATATATTTATATAAAATACATAGAAAATATATAATATATTAAAAATATATATAAAATATACATATAAATATATATATATATATATATATATATATATATATATATATATATATATATATATATATATATATATATATATATATATATATATATATCGGTCGATTTGGTTAATCGTCATTTTTTATAGATTAACCAAAAATCGAAAGAATCCTTTGGAATAAAAAATTCTGAACCAAAACTAAACCCATCGATTCAGTTAACCGCATTTTTGCAATTCAATTTTCTCGATTCGGTTTTTTGGTTTTTCATAAACACACCTATGAATTAGCATCAATTCTGAATTGGCATCAAACTACAAATTCTGACCCTGGGATGATCGATCATTTTCCCAAACATTTACACATGAATGATAACCAATAGATATAAGAGATGTTCTCAACGTGTGGCTGTAGTAGGGTCTTATTGTGAGATTTAACCTCTATTCTATAATATACTATAACCAATAGGTATAATAGATGTTCTCAACGTGTGGCTGTAGTAGGGTGGGATCTAGCCTCTATTCTAGAATACACTCCGAGACAGCAAGTGTTGTGTGATCTCCAAATTTCGTACATATTGGGGGTGTTAACAACAATGAAATTGCCAAATCATTGTGTTCGTTTTTTCTTTTAAGAAATTTATTAGCATGTTTGAATGAGTGACTAAACATTTTAATCAATCCTGATTATATTAAAACGCCCCTATAATTTCATTAATTTACTAAAACCTATCTTAAATAAATTGCAAATTATAAGGGATATGTTAGTAAAATGACGCTTTCTTGTAGGGTTGTTCATAAGAAGACCCAACCCGATCAATCCAAACCGACTTAGTAGCAGTAGTTAGTTCCTATTTAGTATTTACAACCTACTTAGTTCCTACTTAACTAAATTGTCTCTATCCTAGTTAAACCTAACTTAATTTCTAGTCTTCTAGTTAGGAATGACATTAATGGCAAGTATTGTAAGACAACTAGATAAGGAATTTTTTTGGAAAAATTTAAAGAAAATAATCAAAGGATCCTAGTTTTTATGGTCTTTTACACCAAATAAGCAACCAATTACAATTAGAATTAGGTGTCATCTTTTACTTATATTATTAGTGATGAGGGCAGATTTGGCCCTCCAGTGACATTGTGACACCTGGCACTTCGTGAGAACTAGGCAGCTCGTCATCATGCAGCACTTCACAGGCAGCTCGCCATCATGCAACACTCACGGGCAGCTCGCCACTAGGCAGCTCGCCATCATGCAGCACTTCACAAGTAGCTCGCCACTAGGCAGCTCGTCACCATGCAACACTCATAGGTAGCTCGCCACCATGCATCACTCACAGGTAGCTCGCCACTTACGGGCAGCTCACCTCCTAGTCAGACCGACCACCACATGACAACTCCGAGGAGCTCACCACCGTACCCCGCGTTTTATGGGATTGTGACTTGTAACTGCTATATTAGCTCACCCACTCCCCGATTTAGGTGGAAATGGGCAACCTTATCGGTTTGTGGCTTTATCCCCACCTAACACGAAAGCAGGTCCCATCACAGCATGAATCCAGGAACTGCTCCACCAAACCCACAAGGACTCCAATATAAAAAGACCTCACCCCACAAGGGCAAAGGTAGGCGAGAGGAAGAGGTGGTAACCCCTGCTCTCTAGCTCTCTCATTCTCTAATATCATTCTCAGCTCACTACTAAGTGCTGACTTAGCCACCGGAGTGACCTCGCCGAGTAAACACCCCCGGGTTCTCTGATTCAGTTCTTGCAGGTTCCTCAGCTCCCGTCGTTGCTGGTAGCCAGATCATCTTATGCAGGGAGGATGAGTTCCTCTGTTCCCGCCGTCTACAAAGATGAGCAGATCATCTCCTGCAGGGAGCAGCCGGGTTGCACTACGCTAGGGAGCTCCACTTCAGCCCTTGAGTCATCGGCCACTTGGGAGTAGACGAGATGATGAGGTACTTAGCCAAAAAAAAATGATACGTGATTGGAAAGGGTTACATCATTTGGCGTCATCTGTGGGAAAACGCTACAAAAAGCTAAGTTCTCATCCTACAAAGAGCTAAGTTCTCATCCTACAAAAAGCTAAGTCCTCTTCTTCGAGAAAACTAAGTCCTCACTTTTTAGAAATTGAAGCTCTCGCTTTACAATTTCCATTTTTTATGAACTCAAAGAAACTGAAGCTCTCACATTACGAGACGGATGCAACGCAATCATAGCTCTAAGGCGCCCACCCAATGGCTTGGCGCAACCTGCACGCGGCTCGGCTGCTTGGCAGCCTGGCACATGCGCCGACCTGGCGGCCTGGCCCAGGCGCGAACTAACGAACTGATAAAAGACTTCCTCATTACTTAAGACCAAGTCGCCTCTTCGGCATGGGAAAAGTCCAGGAGTGGACTACGAGTCGCTCCCCGAAGCCTAAGGGCCATAATACTGCATAAGACCCAGTCGCCTCTTTGGCATGGGCAAAGTCTAGGAGTGGACTACGAGTCGCTCCCCGAAGCCTAAGGGCCACAATACTGCATAAGACCCAATCGCCTCTTCGGCATGGGCAAGGTCCAAGAGCGGACTACGAGTCGCTCCCAAAGCCTAAGGGCTACAATGCTACTTAAGACCCAGCCGCCTCTTCGACGTGGGCAAAGTCCAGGAGTTGACTACGAGTCGCTCCCAAAGTCTAAGGGCTACACTACTGCACAAGACCCAATTGCCTCTTCAGCATGGGCAAAGTCAAGGAGAGTGGACTACAAGTCGCTCCCAGAGTCTAAGGGCTAAAGTACCGAACTGGCAGAGACCTCGACGCCTTACGGGTAGCTCGCTTCCAAGCAGCTCCCAGAGCCTAAGAAACTGAATCAATGCTTATGAGCTCGTCGAATTATGGGCCAAAAGGAGAAATCTACTCACTTCGCCGAGTTACTTTTAGCTCGGGAGTGGGGGGGCAAATGATGAGGGCAGATTTGGCCCTCCAGTGACATTGTGACACCTGGCACCTCGTGACAACTAGGCAGCTCGCCACTTACGGGCAGCTCACCTCCTAGTCAAACCGACCACCGTATGACAACCCCGAGGAGCTCACCACCGTACCCCACGTTTTATGGGATTATGACTTGTAACGGCTATATTAGCTCACCCACTCCCCAATTTAGGCGGAAATGGGCAACCTTACCGGTTGGTGGCTTTCACCTAATACGAAAGCAGGTCCCATCACAACAGGAATCTAGGAACTGCTCCACCAAACCCAAGGGAATTCTAGTATATAAAGACCTCACCCCCCAAGGGCAAAGGTAGGCGAGAGGAAGAGGTGGTGACTCTTGCTCTCTAGCTCTCTCATTCTCTAATATCATTCTCAGCTCACTACTAAGTGCTGACTTAGCCATCGGAGTGACTTTGCCGGGTAAACACCCCCGGGTTCTCTGATTCAGTTTTTGCAGGTTCCTCAGCTCCCGTCGTTGCTGGTAGCCAGATCATCTTCTGTAGGGAGGATGAGTTCCTTAGTTCTCGTTGTCTACAAAGATGAGCAGATCATCTCCTATAGGGAGCAGCTGGGTTGCACTACGCTAGGGAGCTCCATTTCAGCCCCTAAGTCATCGACCACTTGGGAGCAGACGAGATGACAAGGTACTTAGCTAAAATAAAAATTGATACGTGACCGGAAAAAGTTACATCAAGTAGGTTTCTTGAAATATATAAATTTTAGTATTCTTTTCCTAATACAGTTTGACTTTCTATTTTCTTGATAATTTCTATTCTAACTTGGTCCGCCCCCTATTAATTTCAGTATTCTTTCTCTAATAGAATTAGATGTCATTTTTTACATCAAATTTCACTCTTCTTTCTCCAATCTACCAATTTATTATCATAGTTGAACTTAGATCTGAAACCAACCCAAATCAACCAAACCCGATTCAAACCAATTAGGTTGGTTTTGCTTAAAACAGGGTCGGTTTTGGTTTCAATTTCAGATAACCCGACCACATCTAATCGGTTGAAAAAATCTCAGTAAACTAACCCAACTCGACACATGAACAATCCTACTTTCTTGTTTAAAACTCCGGGATGTATTTTAAGCTTTCACGTAAAATACAAATATCCCTGTTTTTTATAACAAATACAAATATTCCTGGCTAAGAATTAAGTTTGGCGCCTGGGTTATTTGTCCTAATTTTCGTGGTCAGTCATTAGCTTGGCTCCTTACCGAAAGAAAAACTAAAGTCATTAGCTTGCCTCGTGCTAATATTTCCACCCTCATTTTCGTGGTCAGCCCCCACAACGTCTCACAGCATATGTCAGCCGTGTATCGGAAACATCTCATAAAAAAGTGATGAGATATCATCGAGACATGTTTCAATATACGGCTGGGATGTGCTATGAGATGTTGTGGAGCGCCTCTGATGGGGCTGATGTGAACTCCCAGAACCCACACTTACTGTCGTTGGGGATCCACACGTCCCAATCAGCATCTCGTTTTTTTTTGTGCGGAAAGCAAATAATAAAAAAAGGAAATTTTTTAATCAGGCAAGGCAAAATCAGAGGAGTGATAAAAAACGTGGATGAGATTGCAGGGGATAGAAAGCGCACCGAACGATTGAGCTCTCACATTGACACTTAACGTGCGCACCCACCCATGGCGTTTTCTCTGCAACTCTGCAACTTCTCCACCCCTACTGACCTCTCCTTGCCGGACAATCGTGCCGGATTCCAAGTTCTAAGATGCCGGAAATCGTTCTCTGTTCGCTGCAGTGGCGACTCTTCCGCCCCGGCGGCTGCTGTTCAGTCGGATTTCGATGCTAAAGCGTTCCGTCATAACTTTACTAGAGCCGAAAACTACAACCGCAAGGGCTTCGGCCATAAAAAGGAAACCCTAGAACTCATGAACCGGGAGTATACCAGTAAAGTCTTTTTCCACCATTCCTTTTGCTCTCGTTTGTGGTGTCTGAAATTCGTGCTGGAATTGTCTTCTACTATGTTTTTTTTTTTAATTTCCTCGTTAGTCGAGAAATATCACTCCATTTTACGCTAGCTCTACTTTTCATTTAGAAAGATGAATCAATCTTTTAGTTTCCGATTTGGCAAACTTCTGAAATCATTGAATTCTCATCTTCTTTACTCCAGAGTTTGACCTTTTAGTCTTTCTTATTGTTTTTTTCCCGTCTGATATGATGGCATATTTCCTTTCATATTTTTTTCCCTTTGTTTGTAACTTCATCCTTCTGGAAATGTTCAGGTGATATTATAAAGAAACTAAAGGAGAATGGCAATGAATACACATGGGGTAATGTTACTGTTAAACTGGCCGAGGCATATGGCTTTTGCTGGGGTGTCGAAAGGGCTGTTCAAATTGCGTATGAAGCGAGGAAACAATTCCCAGAGGAGAAGATCTGGATTACAAATGAGATTATTCACAATCCAACTGTTAATAAGGTCCGTGCAACGCTATTCCTTTACTTGACTGGTAATAACTATCAAGTGGCTTTTTCTGATTCATATTTGGGGTCCAAGTGCTTCGTCTGGAGGCCAAGTTTTAGTTTCTTTTGGAATAATTTCTCCCAAAACTATTTGTCTTAAGTTCCCTTATTATCAAATTTAAATGGGCTGTTTTCATTAGAGATTTCCACTGTGTTGTACGTGGTTCATTTCATGGTTATGCTTTGAATCATTTAGTGGGTCTTCTTGGGCTGCCAGCTTCTTCTTAACGGTATGGTAACTGCATGAAATGGTTTGAGCTTTGTCCTGATCCTATAATGTTCTTTATTAGTTTGTGAATTTTATCCTCTTCAACCAACTTAACACCTGCACAATACGCATAGCAGTTGCTAGAGCTCGTCAGGCATTATACGTCATTTGTCATCATTTTAGAACGATCAAGGCATGCAACTCATGAATGTGAACTGAACCCCCCGATCTTTTATTTTTTATTTTTTTAATTTTTTCTAATAACTTAGTTTTCACGAAACACATTTTGTCTCCAACGTGTCAACTTCATATGGTTTGTTTTTTCATTGATTCCCTGTGTTGTTGGCAGAAATGCCAACAAGTAGAGTCATTACATGTTGGCCTTTTAGGCTGTACTAGTTGTTTTCTTGCTGATTTCCTAAAGTAGAAGCCAATGCAGTCAGCAATACATGGTGGAATGCCACGTTTTGGCCCATTCATTTGATTACCTGTGGACCAAAATATACAATTGTCTAGATTAGAAGGTGTGCAATTGCAAATTGGGCAATAATTATTCCAAAAGACAGAATGCTTTATCAAAGAATTTTATTGATTATGTAAATTAAGCAGACCAGTTATTTAAATGATGAATCTACTTAAGCAGACTTCTGTTTTAAATGGTGCATGTGTGCGGTGTGCCTTTGCACAGAGCTGAGGTACATTTTAAGGTATGTGCCTTGCTTGAACCTAGACAAAGTATATGCTTGGTGCATCTCGCACTTTGGCCCAGGCACATGCCTTTTATAAGTGTTGTCTTAGGAACTTTTTATACATTCTTTTTGTGTTTTACACCTTTGCAGTGATCTATCAACTTCTCGTTCTCGATTGCCTTTTCTTGATGCTTGTACTAGTAACGATCTATTAACTTTTAAAAGAAACAAAAAAAAAACTTTTTGAATACCTGAATCCTTAGTTGTTGTGGGTAGAATTTCTGGTAACAAGATTTCAACTAAAGGATCAATACAAGTACAACTAATCTCTGCTCCCTAACTCTAAAATGGAATGAATTGCAATCAAAATCACAAAACATCCCCTTATATATAAAAATGGATATTAATCCCACCATGATGTAATAATCCTGAAGTTGTTTTTAATAAAATCTTTTTACTGATAAAAAAGCATCCCCTTACATATATGAGCCAAAAATTTAGGTCGGGGTGCTGCCCTCAAACCCCCACACGGGCTTCTTTAGGCCCATTAGTGCTACACTATATAAAAATGGAATGAATTGCAATCAAAATCACAAAACATCCCCTTATATATAAAAATGGATATTAATCCCACCATGATGTAATAATCCTGAAGTTGTTTTTAATAAAATCTTTTTACTGATAAAAAAGCATCCCCTTACATATATGAGCCAAAAATTTAGGTCGGGGTGCTGCCCTCAAACCCCCACACGGGCTTCTTTAGGCCCATTAGCGCTACACTATAAAGGCCCCAACCTCTTAAGATTAGGAATGCAATCTGTTTGACAATTGACATCACTGTTTGGACTCGCTGTTTGAAGCTTTTTAAGAAGCAATGGGTTACAGCTAGGCATATAAGAAGTTTATTAGATGCTTGGTCAAGTTAAGGCTTTAACTTGCGTGGATCTATTCTATGGAACTTGGTGCCACCTGCAGTTAGTTGACTGCTGTGGGATGAGGGAAATGACCGCATTATTTTTTTTGATAAATAACAACAGCCTTTATTAAGATTTGAGAAAAAAGTTGTGTACAATCATACAATGATTAAACCAGCTACCAGCAGTAGCTGAAAGACACAAACCTTTACAATGTACCCCAAAACATTTTTTTCATATTTACCTCTTGTCTATCAAGGTAGTCTGCCAATCTATTTTCCGATCTCTGAATTCAAAGGACTCTTGCATTCAAAACTTGTGTCTGCCAATCTATTTGCCGATCTCAAAACTTGTGTATACTTTAATCCATAAAGTATGTCATCAGCTTTGCTTTCACTGAATTCCCTTGGCCTATGAGAGCACCTTCAAGATTCCTAACCCCCCCCAAACTCCTGAGGGCCCTGGGTTTCTGCTTTACCTCCTCCTCTGAAGATTCTTGAGTTCCTTTCTTCTCAAATCATCCAATTCTTTTTGGGTTGTAAAAGCTTTTTTCACAGAGATTTTGGATATCCCTTGGAGGGGACCATCTGCACCCAAAAAAGATTAAAAGCAAACTCCCAAATGCTAGAAGTGCAGGGATAGGATTAGCAAGTGGAAACTTGAAAGTAGTTTCACCATTTGCCATGCAAAGGGAGCAAAATCTAGGTGATAGACACTGATTTGGTCTTCTCTTTTGTAGGCCATCCAATGTGTTTATCTTTTGATGGTAAACTTCTCAGCAGAAAGCTCTAACCTTTTGAGGAGTGGGTCTCATCCAGATTTCTCTTACTAGAAAAACTCTGGGGGAGGGGGGTTACAGGGGACAAGGCTTGAAAAAAGGAGGTGCAGGAGAATAATCCAGAAGAATAAGGGGTCCAAACTTTGGCTGTCAGGGGAGGAGGGATCCAAAAGAAAGCCTTTCAGGCAATGAATCTAGGAGTGCTATGCCTCCTTATATTATTATGGTTCTTAGTTATCCTTTTTTGGGTTTACAGTTGTAGACTTTGAGTCTTAAAAATGCTGATTTTATAATTGTCAGGGTGACAAGGCACCCTTGGAGGCTCGCCTCACCTAATCGCCAAGCAGTTTTGTATATTGTATTTTAAAATACTTTTATATTCTTAATTTTTTGAGATTATAATTATAAAATAGACATTATTAAACTAAAATATTCATTTTGTGTGCTTATATACTAATTTCCTTTTATTATTAATCAACATAGACATTTCTAACTGCAGTATTGAACCCTCAAAGGCTTCAAAGCCTGAACAAATAAGTAAGGAAGAACTTAAAATTTTGTCTAATCAACAGATTTTCTTCCTCCACATCTTCTTCTTCTTCTTCTTCTTTGTCTTCTTCCACCTTCTCTTTTCTTCTTTTCCTACAACAAAAATAGGGGTTCAGCCCCTATGTTTTTTGAATTTTCTTTTCTTTTATCTTCTTTTTTTTTTCTCATGAATATGGTGATTTTCTATACCAACATGATGTTTATACTTTCTTATGAAAATTATGGATAATTATTTAAGGAAATATGGCTATGGAATATAACTTACCTATAAAGCATGGTCCAATATTTTTTTGTAGTATATGTTGCTTCAAGTATGTTTAATAAAAAAAATTCCTTCTTTCCATTCCTATAAAAGCATTTGCATTTAGGGAATCATCATTACCTGCATTATCTTGGTTTATCTTTTGTTATACGGTATGTTCTTACTACTTTCAACTGAATTGTAATTTTCTGGTTCTTATTTTAGCGGTTAGAAGAGATGGAAGTCCAGAATATTCCACTTGAGGGTGGAAAAAAACAATTTGGTGTTGTTAATGAGGGTGATGTTGTGATTTTACCTGCTTTTGGAGCTGCAGTTGATGAGATGTTGGCTTTGAGTAACAAAAATGTGCAAATAGTTGACACAACATGCCCATGGGTATCTAAGGTATTTTTCATGACACTAGGGTACTCTTTCAAGATTTTGTTGAGACCCTAAGTTTTGCGTTTTCTGATAATATATTCTACATTTCATGTAAAGGTTTGGAATACTGTTGAAAAGCATAAGAAGGAAGAGTACACTTCGATCATTCATGGTAAATATTCTCATGAGGAGACTATTGCAACTGCATCTTTTGCAGGGACGTATATTATTGTCAAGAACATGACAGAGGTATGATTTACATTTTTCCCTTATTTTGTCCAGTTATCTTGTATTTATTACCATCCAGATTGTCAAAATTAGTAGCACATCTCCATCCACTAATTTTTACTTGTCCGTGTTATTCAACTGAAATCAGGCAATGTACGTATGTGATTACATTCTTGGAGGTGAACTTGATGGATCTAGCTCAACAAAAGAGGCTTTTCTAGAGGTATATTCTGCCTTAGTTATTGAGTATCTTGTGACAAGGCTATGACAAGACTTTGCTTCTTAAGTTGTTTATGGATGTCTGCAGAAATTCAAATATGCGGTTTCCAAGGGGTTTGATCCAGACAGTGATCTCCAAAACGTTGGGATTGCAAACCAGACCACAATGCTTAAGGGAGAGACTGAAGAGATTGGTAAGTTAGTGTTGTGCTATATCTTGATCCAAGTTTATAGTGAATTTCTACTTCTTGTATTCAGATTCTTAATTACTCTTTCCCAGGAAAATTGGTTGAGAAGACTTTGATGCGCAAGTATGGAGTAGAACATATCAATGAGCACTTCATGAGTTTCAACACAATTTGTGATGCTACTCAGGCACTTTTGTTTTCTCTAATCTCTTATTTTGGAATCCATTTACTTATTTTTTCATATTAAATTATAGAAAATTTATGGCATACATTAATATTACCAATTTATGTCTGGTTGTTTATGCTTTTAATGTGATTCATTCACGCATTATGCAGTCTTCTTCCCATTCTTTTGTGTTGCCAATATTACAGACAGTTGTGAAACAGCCTAAGGATGTTTGACTATGCTATATATCATGGATTATTTTGAAATGGAAGTAAGGATTTCAATACCTGCCTAAATGCCTGTACACACACAATGAAGGCTTTATATACCTGATTTATCATTAAAATGTGCCTTGTACATGCATGTCTATTACGGAAGAGGTGTCCTCTATGGATGAAAGTGTTGATAGGTGATGCAGGAGCTGAAGAGTCAATTGGAATTTTACGAAAATTTATGTATTTCTGTATTTTTGGACAGTAAGGGTATTTTTGTCATTTTGCAATTTTCTGTATGGTCCAATGATAGGTTGTCTAATTATAGTTTGTTTATGTTTAAAATTTCAGTCATTGCATAAGTAGGATTAGAGTTATTGACTCTTCTTTGAATTGAAATAGGATATTACAGCTTAGTTTGAGTCCTACTAGGATTATTGAGTCTAACAGTTCAACTCCTAGGACTATTATGAGTCTAATAGTTTGATTCCTAGGATTATTATGAGTTTCAAGTCGATAAATAAGTATGGGCGTTTTTCACAGAGCAATGAAGTTTATGAGTTTTCTTCAGCTTATGCTAACTATGGTGAGTGATTCCCATGCCCTAGAGTGATTCTAGGCACCTTGAGAGTGATTCCGAGTATTTTCTCTCTTCTTTCTGTCTCTATTTTCTCTATTATTCATCCAAGAAGCCATTACATCCATAAAATTCTGATCAAAGAGACCATTCAACATTCTCTAAGGACTGGAACTAAGTTGGTCCTACGTAGAAGCTAGAAACTTTGAAGAGTTGATCAATCTGTTGGATTTGCCAAAAAATGGAATTTTTCTTCTACGAAGGTCACAAGTAGGTAGTGAAGTATTTCAGAAAGGGTGAAGAGTCTGATTTCTTTTGTTAAGGAGTCTAATTTTTTAGGAAGTCAGTTCCAAAGGTGGCAGGTCTGAAAATGTTCAGAGCATTGTTATCAAAATGTTTCTTATGCACCCACCCAGGCATCCCCTGGGCAGCAAGGTGCCCTTGGTTGGGCACCTGATTTGAATGTCATGGCTTATATGAAAGGGTGCTTCTAGGTGATAAGTTGCCTGGCTTGGTGACAAAAAATTGACTCGTTTAAGGATTTCTCAGCTGAGGGCATTTACAGAAACTGGAGAGATAGCAACTACTTCTTCCTTTAGGTCTAAAGTGCAAGAACTATGGTCCCCACCAACACAACACAGAATGAAGCTAAACTTTGATGGGAGCTCTAGACGAAACCCAGGACTGTCAGAAATTGGGGGAGTATTCAGAGATGGAGATGGTAAAATCATCGCTATGTATTCAAGGCTACAGGAGTAGGTGACTCTTTGAGGGCAGAGGTAATAGCTTTGCTTCAAGGTGTGATATTTGCCAAATAGATGGGGCTAAAGAAAATAGAGATAGGAGACTCTAAAATGCTCATTGATTGGTTGAAATTGGTTAGTTTGGGAGCTTGGATTTATAGACATGCTATAAGGGAGATCACTAACATAACAAAGGAGATTGGGGCTTCTTTAAAGTGGACTAGAAGATCAGCTAATGGGCTAGCTGATACTTTAGCTAAACAGAGGGCATTGAAGGAGAATCTGTTCTGGGCAGAATTGTAAAAACAGTTTTTTTTGGGGTCAGCACCTTTTCAGGGGCTGACAGTTGTGCGTGATATTTCTTAATTCGCTTAATGAAGTTACTGTTTCGAATAAAAAAAAGGCAAAACAAACACCTTGTTGTTGTGTTGTTAGTTTGTTACTATGGCTACATATTATTAACATGTGTGTTAATACATCTTATGATATGCTATATGCTTTACTTGTGTTTTGATTAAGGGTTTTAGCATTAGAGCATAAAAGACTCCAAGAATTTTAAGAAGAGAAAGGGAAAGAAGGAAGTATGAAGATTTCTCTTTTTCTACAGTCTCTCTCTTCCCCTTTTTGTTACTCTTATCTCTAAATAATATTATTATAGCTTTTTTTAGTTGCTATCATGTTATAATGTTGTGCATGAACTGTTGAAATTAATTGATTTAAAATGCTATTTTCTTATAATGATGATGATTTGCTTTATTTTGGTATGAAAGTTAATGTTAGTAGTAAAGATTAGGGAAAATTCCCGATAGGTACCTTGTACTATAGGCTGAGTGCGAATTTAGTACCCAAACTTTAAAACGCGACAATCTAGTACCCGGACTTTCATTTTGCGACGATTTAGTACCCGACGTTAACCAGCCGTTAAGTGGCATGCAAAAAGACAAAAATGCCCTTCAAGTGTCATCTAATTTTCCTTATCAACCATCCGGTACAAGTAAGGCTCAAAGTATCGTTATGTATTGGCCCGTATCGGCCGATACGTATCGTTCCGGGACCCTTCCGATACGCCCCTACAGTGGGTGTATCGGGGCTCTAACCGGTTCAGGGGATGGAGGGGTCCTAGACCGGCTCCCCTGAACCAGTTTTGAAAAAAAAAGTAAAAAAACAAGTATCGAAACGCCCGATACGCCCCTACCGGCGTATCGTGTGTATCGATATTTTGAACCTTAGGTACAACCAGACTGACAGTGCCGCTATTCATCGTCTCGCCTCTTCTCTTTGACGGAGAAACCTTTTCAATCACTTCTGCTTGCTTCTTCTCATTCACCATTACCTTGTTGTTGTTGTTCTTTGGGATACTACACTGCATTGGAATTTTCTCAATGTTTCCAACCCAAATGGCTCCATCTCCTCGGCTGTGTTACACAAGAAGTCATTTGAACCCAAAGAGAGTTGTAGCTCTCTCTAGTAAACAATAGAACAGGGGTCAGTACCATCGGCGGATCTCAGTTTTGGATGAAGCTATGAGCGATGGAAACGACATGTTTCAGGGAAGCCTGGTATGGTGAATTCATCGGAGTCCGTGTGGCGGTGTGGGAGGTTCAACCACAAAGAGAAGTGGAGGCTGGCCGTCTAAGGAAGGCGTCGGCGATGATGCACAGTGGAGGCTGGCCGTCTTGTTGGGTGATGGTGAAGACAAGGTTGTGGAAGGAAGGCTCAAGGGTTTGTGAGGCACAGAAGAGGGTTATCATGTGATGGTTTGGCAAGGCTTTTGTGTTTTCGGTGTTGGGTGGTAGACCGTGGTCGGTTTTTTAAAAGGGCAGCTCGGCAACACGAATGGTTGTAGGGGTGGTGGAGGAGGAGGAGGAGGCGGAGGAGGAGATGGTTGATCGGAGGTAAACGACGTTGATGGGACTGGTGGCGGTGGTGATGGTGTAGCCTGTTTGTTGCTCAATTTGCTTGGCCAATGCTGCGAATGGTATCATATGGCCACGAAACAAGAGAAGAATTACCCATAATGCTGTTAAACCCTTGAAACAGTGGGTTGAATAGAGAGCCCTTAATAAATGGGTTGCTGAGCGTGTGAAACTGGCAAGGGGACCGGACAGTAGGGTCATGAGTGGGGAAGTGGAGAGAGTAATTAAGTTGGTGATGGGTGAGGGAGAAAAAGGGAAGGAGATGAAGATGAAGGCGAGTGAAGCTGCAAGAAAGATAAGAGATGCAGTGAAAATAGTAGGAGATCAGTTGGGGTCTTCAGTTAAGGCACTTGACGGTTTTTTAGAGATTGCTTTGTCGCAGAGACGAAGCTCTAGTTTAAATGAAGCAAATGGATATCCTTCTTAAGAGAAATGAAAATGGTGGAGGGTGTGATTGGGAAAGCAGATCAGGTGGTGAAGAGAACTATAGCAGTTGCAGAGAAGACAAAACAGTGTTGAGGTTGCTTTTTATTTAGCCTTTTGTTTTCCAATATTCTGTTATTGCGCTCGATCGGCATTTAGAACAGAGAGTATAAAACAGAGCTATGGGCTCAAGCTTTCGAAAGGACACTTGGGTGTATTATTTTCTTTCTTCTGTTCAATGTGTTAATCTCCACTGATGTATTGCAGATGGGTGTTTCTGTAATCCATGTACCCGCCTTACACTGGTAATCCTAACCCTCCTTCAGGAGGTAGCAGTGTTGGTGGTCTTACACCACCTTTTGGAGGTGGAAGTGGACTTCCAGGGACAAATCCTCCACCTTCAACCAGTCTGACATGCCCGATCAACGCGCTGAAACTAGGGTTGTGCTTGGATGTTCTTGGCGGGTTGGTGCATGTTGGATTAGAGAACCCAGTGGAAAATGCTTGCTGTCTGGTGCTTGGAGGTTTGCTAGAGCTTGAAGCAGCTGTTTGCCTCTCTTTCATTTTCTTGAGAAAGAAGATGATGAACAGTGTCCAAGGATAATTTGACATTTTTAAGTCTTAAATCCCACATGAAGTCACGTGATATACATAACTGACAGTCCATTAACGGTAGGTACTAGATTGTTGCAAAATGAAAGTTCAGGTACTAGATTGTCGCGTTTTAAAGTTCGGGTACTAAATTGGCATTCGGCCTAAGGTACAGGGATTATTGCTACTTTTCTATTTAGGGAAAAATCCTTAAGCATCTCCTCTTAAATGATTCTATTGTTAACCTTGATAAAACTGTGAAAACATTGAAAATACCCCTAGTGGCTTTTAGATTTTTGAATCTAATACCAGAAGTACCCATTTGTAGAAAGACAGAAATCTAATAGGATTTCCAAGGACTGTCCCGTTACACAAGCCCCCCCCCCCCCATCTCTTTCTATTTACACCCAGATGACTATTTTGATGGATTACCGCTTTATACTAGTGGCATCACCGCAAGAAGATACGAGCGTCTTTTGAACCTGGTACTATGACACAGATCACGTTCTCAAATTCCACTGAAGGTATTACTTTGTGATATGAGCATCACAATCTGGTA